GCATACTCACGCGTTCATCTATTCACGCACACTCAGAATACAATGAGAGGAAGAGAGACAAATACAAACATGCAATTAAAATTATTTGAATTGCAATAATTTTAACCTTCCCTTCTCAATCGTAGTACCGGTGGACATCGGTTTAGTTTTATCAATTTGAGGCAAATGAATCTTTAATTTCGTTAATTACATTAAGTCGATAAAACTATTCCGATTTCCAGCGTGTTTGAACTCATTTTAATCACAGCAATCTCAGAAATCCACTGGCACTACGTTTGAGAAAATAAGGTAAAAAACTATTGCAATAGAAATTTTCTTTTGCATGTTTACTTGAAGCGTGCGGCAGTGCTTTGAAGTCCCGCGTCTCGACCCTTGATTTTCGACATTCTGTGTGTATCCCGCTTCCGCTATATCGATCCTCTGCCACTGTTAGGCTGTGCTCGAGTCAGTTTCTAGAAGCAAATAGTGTCCTCCTATTTTTTCTGCTCGGTTAAATTCCACTTCTGGGACCCGAAGTTGTGAAATTTAAACGAGCATTACTGTAAAAGCAGAAGTTGTTCTGAGCGTTCTTATAAGTTCGTAAATATGATTATTGCAGTGTTTTGTTTACAGTATACTTTTATTCCAGGATTCGTCAAGAAGTACAGATGAGAGTTCAAGGTTACTGATTAAGAAAAAGAACGAGATTGGCTCGAAAAGGACAGGACTGAACGAGGGAAAGGAAACTAGGCCGTTAATGTCAAAATCCGAAAGGGCTCAATATAAACCTTTCTCTTGCGATCTTTGTACTCTAGCCTTTACACGGGCTTCTCATTTAGCTAGACATAGAAGAGTTCACACAGGAGAAAGGCCATTCGCCTGCAGCATTTGCCCACGGATGTTCGCCAGGCAAGATAAGCTGAAGCAACATTTGGATTCACATTTACAATGGCCGAAAAGGAAAAACAATTTATCGAACACAAGCTGTCAGTCGACGACATCCTCACCGAGCAAAGGAAAAAGAGGTCGACCGCGAAAGGTTAGTAACATTTGCACGACTTATTTTAGAAATAAATAGACATTTTTTATTAATTATATTTTTATTAATAAAACTTGTATTAATTCTCTTAGGTTAATGTTATTTTAAAAACGTTGTCACTAAAAATATAGTACAATCTCTTGTATCCGAATGATCTGTTATCCAAATCTTCTATTATCCGAATAGAGTATTTTTTGCTTAGAGATATCTTCTCTTGTTTCGAATATTAGGTTGCTGTATAAGTTCAGTTCACTATTTTATTAATATAAACGATAAACAGTATATCGGGCAGTAATATAATTTAAATGTAACTATTAGTAACAATTTTTTATTTTCAACAACTTCAAAATGTGTAGAAAAAGTTAACTAAAAACTAATATCAGCTAAGGTTGCACAACATCGAAGCAATTTATGCACTAAAACTGGCAATGAGACTTAAAAATCAAAATTGATCATAGTTATCGCATCTCATAGTCCCTAATTAGGCTTGATCCTATCGAGACGTCATCTTAAAAATGATGCAGACAATGAGGTCTGCACATAGAATTGTGTCATTCATACATACAGTGTCCAATTGTGCCTACATAAGTATTTGCTATTCAGTTTCGAATCGTTTTAAAGACTGATGGCGAATCGCCATTCACATTTATAACATTGTAACAAAAAATTGTCAAAATCATAATTTTGAAAAATTTTATTTTACAATTTTATAAACGTGAAAGAACAATGTATTTTTGATCTAAACTATTTTTTGCTGTCGCTTACTGTTTCAAGATACTCCACGGGAAAGAAAAATTAGTATTTCTTTCAATGGGTGGTTTTACTTCTTCAAAATGAAATTCGGCATAATAAAATTGCAATATATTCGGTTTGATTTACTCTACTTACATACAAAGTTTCATAATTTTTTGGTTTTTTTCGGGTTCGAGAAATCGAATTTTTATCAGTTTCTGAAGAATGTATTAGTTTGATTAAAAACCAATATCAAGTTTTTGCAGTAGACAGCATCTTTTTACTTCCTAACTTTTTAAACATACACGCAGTTTAATCATTAATGTGTAATTTAAGAAGATATTGTGCTTGTTATCACTTTCCTTGAATTAATTCTGTTTTAAAAATGAACGGTAAGGAATTATACTCTCGAGCAATTACGCGTAAAACATAAAATAGAAATATATTGTATTTAAAATGCATTATACATGAGAACTAAAGTGTTACATGTGTGTATATCTTAAAAATACATATACCATAAATATCTGAAGACGTGTCATCGGCATCATATAGTAAGTTTTACCGAGCAACTTCTTCGTGGTGTATATATGGTGACGCTAATGTAGGCAGTATGTCAAGTTTTAATACTCATATCTCGGTAATAGTTTATGCGAAAATAAATTCGCATTATTTTGGAAACGCTTGAATGTCAGTTACAAAAGTATAAACTAAAAACTATACGGCTCCGATAAAAAATTTTAATGAAACCATTGCGGGACGTTTCAAAGTCATCCCAAGATAAAAAATGACACTATGATGTATAGCATTCGATATTTAATACTTTATAACGTTTGTCGAAAACATTTTTCCATATGAGTTACATTTTTCGGGAAAATTAGGTGTTCTTAGTTAGCAAAAACATACTATATATACCGTAAATATACGGCGTATGTTTATTTTTACTACGCATTAGTATTAGTATACATTTTAAATTATTTTACATTATTTTTTACGTTGAAAGTAAACAAATAAATATTCATTTTGTAATCGAACATTTTCTTCGCATTTAAGAATGTCTTTTGAAGGAGGCTATCGGTTTATAAAATTTATATCTTATCTTGGACCTTCATTTTTATCAACATTACTTTCATTTTAAACCGGAATATTTAGACTATTGTTTGTATGATGGTATAAGAAATATAAGGATTAAGTAACGCATTTAGGAGTGTTTGTTCACAATGTTACGTGACGTTGTACGCAGCCTAGCAAATGTATAAACCAAATAAAAATAGTCAACGCTATCATGGAAATGTAAACAGTAGTAAAATTGTTTCAACGAAAACTCAAGGAAGACAAATAAAACCATTTAACGAGAAGTCACATGAAAAATGGTAATCTCGTTTAATGAAAAGCGTTTCAATTTGAATAATCTCTATAATTTATTATTGATAAACCTCCAGAAAATCTATTTACTTTTTTCTCGATTTTGATTGTTTTTCAGTGTGTTATAGAAATTAACACATTGAACAACTTTTTAGTCCCACATTGTATTGGGTTATCTCATAAGTAATGCGGTCGTTTATATTTCATTTATCTTGAACAATAAAGATAAATAAAACTCTTTTTTAAAAGAAATTATACTGTGTAGATACACAATTTCTAGATAATGAAGGAGAATATGTTTTAGATTAAAAACAGTTTTGTTTATCTTTATTCTTAAAAATGATTTATGGGATGACTCAATATATACCACTACAATAAATTCTGTCTGTAATTGTGCGTTTGTAGCATCATACACGTTAGTAATAGTGGTTGTCGATAGCCTTACGAATCTACCATTTATGTGTTGTTTCTAGTATAGTCTAGTATACTCTGCGAGCCGGAAATAATTAAGACGAAAAAATAGGGAAACCAACAAAATAACTGAGTTTATTAACAATAAGAAAAAGGAACTATATCCTAACGAGTCGCAACTTAAACTACACACAACTTGTTGCCATCGAGGCCAACTCGCGACTCTCTCGACATAGACACTCTTTGGGACATTCGTACTCAAAAATTTTTCTCTCCCCCACAATCATTCTTCTCACTCGCACCCTCAACAAACTCTCAAGCACACACCCCTTCGAAGCCTAATAAAAAACCTTGGGCCTGCAACGTTGAGTAGACCACTTTTCTTCAATCGTTAGGCTTCCCTCTTTAGGGTCCTCCGCTGTCGCTAATGTTCGTATTCACACTTCTAAAAACATTATAAAACTACTCTGAAATTCTATATACTACAATAGCGTTTGTATTTTTCGACGATAACCAACTAAGGCCCAGTGCAGACGATCGGTTTGCGGCGAATTTCTGCAGCTTCGTCGTGTAATTGGTTACATTGAACCCATTCGTAAGGTACTCATGTTATATTAGTCGTTTTTCTCCGAATAACGTAGGTATATACAATTAGGGGAAAATATGGAAAAACGGACCAGTCAGGTAAAATGGGACAGTAATGTTTTTTATAAATAAAATGCTTGTATCGAGTTGATATCGCATAACATGGTCCTAATAAGTCCTCCATGTAGTTTAACATCGACTGCAAAGCGGAGCATGATTTATTTTTCGGTTAAAAGTATTGAAAAGATATTCAGCAGTATTTATATCTGCTAACGATTAAATATATTCAGCTAACAATTTTGATTCAATAGGAATAAAGATTTTGTATTTTTGTACGATTTTATATGATTGTACAATTTTACCCTACCATTTTTGCGAAGCAGATATTTCAGTACCTTTAAAGAATCGTATTTTCCTTCGTAACTAAATATTTTTACTACAAAGATTTTTTATTTCCTTGTAGCTAAAGGTCTATTTAAGACTTCCAAAAAAGGTTATTGCGAGTCAAAAAAAAGCGTCTCATTTTACCCTAAATTTTCGCTATTTACGAATGTCTTCGAACTATTGCGTTCATAACTTTCAAAATATAACATTCGCATAATGAATTCACTTGTATAAAGTAATGACGTAATTGACGAAAGACTCAGGTCTCAAGAACATATAAATAAATTTACAAGAAAATCTGACAATATACATGAGTAACAGATCAAGAAGAGTAAACATACCGTTTATGAGACTCACAAAATTCTTAAACCTTATAGAACCACGTAGAGTAGGTCGGAGACTGATTAATGGTTTACTTCTTTAAGAACAAATATTATATCATAAATATCATTGATACCTAACAAAAAAAAATATATTTATGGAAGCAAATGCATACCTATGCATAAGAAGAGTAGTTAAATAGTCATTTATCCAAAATTGAGTATACCACTAAAAACAATTGAAGGCATAGACATTTGACAATTTAAATGACACCGATACATCTCACTCGGAATTACTCTAATCATAACATTTTAATTCATATTGATATATAGTTTCAAATACAAATGTTTCATAGTGGATAGCAATATTGTGAGCTTCTGAAATATGGTTACCAAAAAGACTGTGCACTAGTAAAATTGTATATTTAACAACATTTAATATTTTATTTATTACAATGCATCACAAGTCTAAGTCGTTATTCTGCGCGAATGGGTTAAGCATATGTTTTTCTACGTTGTTGCGGCAATTCGTCGCAAACCGTTAGTGTGCACCGTTCGTAAGGCTGGTAAGATCGATTTCTACGAACAAACAGATGAATGTTTCAGCTATGCTTGTAACTATGTCACAGGTAAACAGTTTAATACATAATTTTAAGGAACCTGCATATATAAAGGAACATGTGAATTCAAAATGTTGATTTCTATAACATATCTAGTACTTGTACGAAGTCAAGATTCTTCGTAACGATTACTTTACTATCTTTCCTAGATCTCATACATCCAATAAAACTGAATTCGTTCGATGCATTACCAAGAAAATGAATGCTTAAGTTTATGTTACAAATGGTGTCACCCGAATTTGACGTGACAGTCAATGTGTTAAAAATCATTGTAATTGAAGGAGAAGTAACGATTTATTTGAGGCTTTCACAGCCAGGAATACTACGAGAAGTATTCAAAGTTTCCAGGTGTAAGCCGTGTTCGTTATGAATCGTTCCCCGACGTTTTGCTAGCATTGCAGCTGGCATCATCATCAGATACTGGTTACCCAGAATCAATGCTCCCTACTTAACCCGTTGGCTTAATTTTCCCGATAACCTTATAATCAGTATAACCTTTTTCATATTTCTTTATGATGCAAATGGGTTAAAAATACCTTGCTCGGAGTTAAGGATGAATGAACACCAATCCCGTGTTTCTAATTGGTTAGTAGATCAATGAAAAAATGAAAAGAGGTTGGTGCAAATTGAAGTTGGTAACCACAGTTGGGATGTTTCAAGATTTCGAGTGTTTCTCTGACTTTCCACTGGTAATTTTAGTTTTGTCAAACAGGATTTTGTGTCCCGTGTTTATCTGGTGTTCGGCGACGGCTGATTGTCTGTATTTCAATCTGGAGCATTTCTCATGTTCTTTGAGTTGTGTGTTCACGCTCCTTTCAGTTTCACCGATATAAACGAAGTAACTTTTTAACAACCTTCCCTAATTGCTTTCACAATTTACGGAAGTCATTATGAAGGCGACAAATTAGTGATGGAGCTAACGTGAACATAGAACAACAAGTATGATGTTAATTTCCAGAATCAAACAACAAAACGTACAAAGTTTGACAAAAAATAATTTTCTCGGCTTCAATGAATTTAAACGTTTAGATCGGTAAACATTTGTTTCAAAAAATTGTTGCGCAATTATCTATAATATTAAAAATCGTTATTACAAATTTCACTTCAATAATTTTATTTACTTGGCAATTACTTGAATACTGTAGTATTATTATGAGAAGCGCCTATGCACTATTATTATGAAACACAATACACTGGTCTGGGCTGTAATAGTCCAGTAATTGTGTAATTTCAGTCGTCTACTACTTAAAAAATACTTTTTCTTCTATTAAATTGGTGCGCATGAAATGTCGGTTTTTCTTTCCATGTGAATGTTTGTCTCCCTATTTTCGTTACGCTTTTGTTTTTGGCATAACCTCGTTCATAGTCGCACTGTCCATTGCCAAAGTCATATTTCAAAGAAGAAAATTTTCTCAAAAGTGTTCCCTTTTGTTATTTGTTTTGAATTTTATACCGATATGAATTCAACCGATATTCGTGTAATTTCTTTATATGAGTATAAACTTAGTAATAATGCTGCAAAAGCTGCACGCAATATAAACCAGGCGTTTGGGGAAAATACTATTAACGATCGAAAAGTGTAGCGTTGGTTTGAAAATTTTCGGTCTGGTGATTTTTTCCTACAAAATGAACCGCGTGGAAGACCCAAAACGTTTGTGAAAAATGATGCTCTGAAAGCATTGGTGGAAACGAATCCAACTGTATCTACAAGGGAACTTGCTATCAGAATGAAAGTTGACCATACAACAATATTGCGACACCTTTCTGAAATTGGCAAGGTGAAAAAAATAGATAAGTGGGTACCGCACGAACTAACCGAGCGAAATAAGCTGAATCGGTTGAACGCATGCTCATCATTACTAACCCGATTTCATCGAGTGCCATTTTTCGATCGGATTATTACTTCTGATGAAAAATGAGTTCTTTACGACAATAGGAAAAGGTGTGCTCGGTGGCTTGATAGGGATGAGGCTTGTGCTCATACTCCAAAGCCATCACTTCATCCACGGAAAATTTTAATAACAGTTTGGTGGAATGTGACTGGAGTAATTCACTACTCATTCCTTCGAACTGGGGAGACAATTACAGCCGAAAAGTACTGCCAGTACATTGATGAAATGCATGAAAAATTGAAAATTATACGCCGTCGTACTTCTCCACGACAACGCTCGGCCGCATACGTCGTACAAAACAATTGCGCAATTAAATGAATTAAAATATGAAATTTTGCAGCACCCAGCTTATTCACCGGATCTTTCGCCAACCGACTTTCATTTTTTTAAACATTTAGAACAATTTTTACGGGCTAAACAGTATGAAAATGAAGACAGCCTGAAAAATTCCATATCAGAGTTTATTGATTCTAAAGATAAGAATTTCTTTAAGACAGGCATTTATGCATTAAAATCTCGTTGGGCGTGTGTTGAAGCAAAGTGTATTGAAGCAAATGGAGCATATTTTAATTGAATAAACAACTTTTCAAAAAAGATATGCTGTTTTATATATTCACTTAAAAATCCGACATTTCATACGCACCAACCTAATATTTCTATATTTCATGAAATTCAAACTGGAAAGGTTTTAAGCAATTATAAAGTAAAAGTATGGGTACAGAGAAGATAGCCCTACTAATTCCAACCACTGTCATCTAAATGAAACTCGTTTTTATATATTGTAAGAAATCGATTTTAGGTAGGTCACCCTAT